TCTTTTTTTCTTTTTTTTGAAAAACTCCAAAGGCTTGTCTTTTAATGCGGGGTGCTTTGTCTCCATGTGATAAAGCAGTTTTGAAGATTTCATGGTTTCATTGGATAGCTGGTCACCACATATTATAAAAAAAGGGCTTGGAGAATGTGACTCACCTATTGCAATGAACCCGTAATTTAAGTAGGACTCTTGGTATTTTCTTTTAAATGCAGCTTTCTTTTCAATGCAGCTTTCTTTTTGTTGGCAGTCTTAGAGCCTTCTGCTGTCTCATCATTGGGTCTTTCCCCCTTTTCAAAGAAGCTTTCCAGTGATTATTGTTTTTATCCATTTTGGCTAGGGTTAGCTTGTGGGCTTACCAAAACTGACTGAGACAAGTGTGCAGTGCAGGAAAGAGGTGCAGGCAAAGTGGTAAATCAAATAATGGGCAGGACACACATGGACTAAAATCAGTGTCTAGTTCTGACTTAAAGCCTGCCACCAGGTGCAGCTGTATAGTTGAGTACATCAACTCACTTACCACTATAAAACCAGCCACCAGATGCGGCTTAATTGTTACTTGCCACATACTGGTAGGGTTTTGATAAGTCTGCAAGCAATTGATTTATTATGGTCTTTGTGCAGTCAACCCTCTCTGCTAATGTTTTTTGTTTTGTTTTTGTTTTTTTGAGACGGAGTCTCACTCTGTTGCTCAGGCTGGAGTGCAGTGGCACGATCTTGGCCCACCACAACCTCTGCCTCCCAGGTTCAAGCGATTCTTCTGCCTCAGCCCCCCGAGTAGCTGGGACTACAGACATACACCACCATGCCCAGCTAATTTTTGTATTTTTAGTAGAGACAGGGTTTTGCTATGTTGGCCAGGCTGGTCTCGAACTCCTGACCTCGTGATCTGCCCACCTCAGCCTCCCAAAGTGCTGGGATTACAGGCGTGAGCCACTGTACCCGGCTTCTGCTAATATTAATCTGTATTTGCAACCACTCCCCAGCACTAGCATCACTGCCTTAGTTCCACCTCAGATCATCAGGCATTAGATTCCCATAAGGAGTGTGCAACCTAGATCTCCTGCTTGTGCAGTTCACAAGAGGGTTCGCACTCCTATGAGAATCTAATGCCACCCCTGATCTGACAGGAGGCAGAGCTTAGGCGGTAATGTGAGTGATGGGGAGCAGCTATAAATACAGATGAAGCTTCACCCACTGTCCCATCACTCACCTCCTGCTGTGTGGCCCCATTCCTCACAGACCATGGGCTGGTACCAGTCCAGGGTTTGGGGACCCTTGTTCTAAGGGTCAAAGGACTGGGGTGGGAGAGAGCAGGATCCTTTGTTGGGCTCTGGTAACTTCAGGAAGAGCATGTGTTTATTTCTTTACAAGCCTGATAAGAGTTATATGTAACTATATTTTAGAACTATTTCCTAGCTGTTTTCTTTTCTTCCTTTTTTTTTTTTTTTTTCTTGAGATGGAGTTTTGCTCTTGTTGCCCAGGCTGGAGTGCATGGCACAATCTCGGCTCACTGCAACCTCCGCCTCCGGAGTTCAAGTGATTCTCCTCCCTCAGTCTCCTGCGTAGCTGGAATTACAGGTGTGCACTACCACATCCAGCTAATTTTTTGTATTTTTAGTAAAGATGGGGTTTCACCATGTTGGCCAGGCTGGTCTCAAACTCCTGACCTGGGTGATCCACCCGCCTTGGCCTCCCAGAGTACGAGGATTACAGGCATGAGCCACCGCATCCAGCAGTGCTATTTTCTAATTTTAAAAAGTGTATTTTGCTCATGTTATAAATCAAAGTGTATTTCCTATGAATTAACCAATGAAGTATTTAACATGAATTAATAAAACCATTATAAGATATACAAACATTAAATAGAAGGATTGATAATTTTGACGAAATAAAACGTAAATCGGCCAGACATGGTGGTTCACGTGGGAGCACTTTGGGAGACCGAGGCAGGCAGATTGCTGGAGCCCAGGAATTGGAGACTAGCCTGGCCAACATGGCAAAACCCCATCTCTACAAAAAATACAAACAAACAAAAAAAATAGCCGGGTGTGCTGGCGTGCACCTATAGTCCCAGCTACTCAGGAGACTGAGGCAGAATGATCAATTGAGCCTGAGAGGTCAAGGCGGCAGTGATCCATGATCGCATCACCGCACTCCAGCTTGGGTGAAAGAATGAAACTCTGTCTCAGAGAGAGAAAAAAAAGACATTTCTATTTTTATAGTGAATACCCCAAAGTACAAGGTATAGGACACAGAAGAGGAAGCTTATTAAGAACTTCCAGAAAAGACATGAGGATTCTCAGTTGACTGCCTGCTCAGTCTCAGTTGGTGTTATTGTGTGGCAACAAAAAAGGTTTTAATGATAGCATCCAGATCAAGCAAGGGGAACAGTTCTCTGCTCGCTCAGACTTTTCCTGAGTAAATTTAGCCTGAGGTGTGTGTTGGAAAGTAACGAGGGAGTGTATAAGTGTATTATAAAATAAGTATCATTTTAAAAGAGTTATGTTATGCTCATTTCTTATGACCCTAGGTGTTAGAACTGTGACAAGGGTTGGAAAGTGTATGAGTATGGAGGGAAGCTTTTCTTTAAAAGATGTGAAACTATACAAAAATTAAACAGCCTTCCTTGATCTTTGGTGATCAAGCACAGGCCAGATAAGCATATTACTGGAATGCCATAAAGAGAATTCTTCATCACTTCTGATATGGGAGTTGGACTAGAACCAAATCATTTTCAGGACCCCTCCAGACTTGATATTTTTGTGATTTTATACCCAACCAAAGTATGGGTTACATGTAATGGAATATATAAAGACAATGATGATCAAGTCCTTGCCTCTGTGGAGCTTACATTTTCATTGGAGGAGCAACACACATAGAGTTTGAAAGGCAAGTATTGGGATAAAGTCAATAAAAGAATGTCATAGGACTAATTATAATTAATTTCTAAGTGAATGGTAAATTGAAATGCTTTTTTTTTTTTTTTTTTTGTGAGGGGGTTTCACTCTTTCCCCCCGGGTGGGAGTGAAGGGACAAAATCACGGCTCACTGCAATCTCTGCCTCCTGGGTTCATGCCATTCTCCTGCCTCAGCCTCCCAAGTAGCTGGGACTACAGGCGTGCACCACCGCACCTGGCTAATTTTTTGTATTTTTAGTAGAGACGGGGTTTCACCATGTTAGCCGGGATGATCTCAATCTCCTGACCTTGTGATCTGCCTGCCTCGGCCTGCCGAAGTGCTGGGATTACAGGCGTGAGCCAGTATACCTGGCCAATTGAATGCTTTTTCAAACCTCATGTCAGCCAGCACAGTGGCTCACACCTGTGATCCCAGCACTTTGGTAAACCAAGATGTGTAGATTGCCTGAGTCCAGGAGTTTGAGCTCATCCAGGGCAATATGGCAAAACCCCATTCTACAAAAAAGTTAGCTGGTCATGGTGGTGCATGCCTGTAGTCCTCAGCTACTGGAGGTGCTGAGGCAGAAGGATTGCTTGAGCCTGGGAGATGGAAGTTGCAGTAAACTGAGATCATGTCACTGCACTCTAGCCTAGGTGACAGAGTGGGACTCTGTCTCAAAAACAAACAAACAAACAAAAAACTTATGTATTGTAAAGCATCAGTCACTCTCAAAGAACCTAGGTGTCACAATGACAGGGGAGAACAACATATTTATATATGTTTATGGGTTTTACATTGCTCATTTATAATAAATGTCACAAATTTTAACAGTAATTGCCAAAGCTTATTTGATAAACTTTCTGGTGGGCAGAAGATGGGAAGATAAGAAGTCCAGGTTATAACTAAGGTAAGTGAATGTTGCCATAGGATAAGGTTTTCTTTATCAACTTTATGAGGTTTTATCCCATATTGGCTATTATGCATATTACGGTGAGGGCGAGAACAAAACCAGTGTTTGGTAAAATTGGATCATCTTTTTAGAGACAAATGTTTTTATTCACAATTGAGAAAGTGATTCACATCCTTATATTTTTAAGCAAATGGAGTCAAATTTAATAATTGAGTGCAGTGTAATTTATGAAACTTTAGACTGACTCATCATGACAATTTCCAGGTAAGATAGCCATCAGTAAACTGGAAAGACATACTTAGCACACATTCCGTTAGTCAGAACTCTTCATATCTTCAGCTGGATATTATATTGGTTTATTAGTGAAGTTGAGAAGAGGAGAATATGAGGATTATATTATACCAGTAACATCAGCTCTTCGTTGGCGTAAACCCTAGACAATTAACGCCCAATGAATAAAAAATCTGCAGTGTTCTTCCCTCAGCAGCCAATCTGTGTGACAGGTGTAACTTTTCAGTGGGATGGACTCCTTCAGCTAGAATAGCTCAAGGATAGCCCGAGTCTACCTGCTCCTCAGTGCACTCTGATCATTTGGTTTCCCCTCTTGATGTGCCTGTTGAAAATGTCTGTATTCCTTATTATATTATAAAGATTTATTGGGGAACACTATCAATCTGAAAATCTCATATTATTCTTAAACACCAACTAACACAGTTAGAAAATATTGGATGTTTCTTTCCTCATCAGTAAAATGTGGGGGGTAGATTAACTCATCTCTAAAGAGCTCCTTACTTCTCAAGTTCCGCTGCTTTATCAAATTAGCTTAGCTTTAAACAAAGTATTGAAAATTATTTTGTCCACGTGTACTTGAAAATATTTAATGACATAGTAAGGACGTTCATACTAAATTGTTAACGTTTTAAAACAAAAGTAGTTGAAAAATAAATGTATGTAGTTTGGCCCCGTATGTGTATATGTGTCCACGCACATATAAATTAGATATAGTACTCTATTGATTATTTCCTGGTTATTATTGATTATCTCTGTGTAATAAACTTATGGGTGATGTTTTTGTTTTCCTCTTCTTGCTTTTCCATAATTTCTATTTACCAGTTGTATTAATTTTGTGATAGGAAAGAGCATAGGAATCTGAAAAAATAAGTGTCTTTGTTTGTAAATTGTTTTAATTCAGCACTCTACGAAAGCTAACACACTGAAGGAAGATCCAACAAGGGACCTGAAACAGCTTCTCCAAGAGTTGAGAAGCGTGATCAATGAGGAGCCAGCTGTGTCTCTGAGCAAGACAGAGGAAGATGGAAGAACATCTCTGGGAGCCTTGTATGTGGCTGTGTAAGGCTGTGTGCACACAGAATGGGAAAGCTCATCTCTTGAATGGTTTGCCATTGAGTTATTCACATGTTACTCTCTGGGAGGGTGAGGTTTAAATAACTTTAAAAGGTATCTGAAGTTACCACAGAAAACAATATGAAAATGGAGGAGTTAAGCAAATGTAAAACAACTTGACATTAAGAGAAAACAATATAGTCATTCTATTCAGAAAATACTTAGTGCAAGGTGTCACCCAAAGTTATGTTTGTAAATTTTAATTCTCAAAAGATTTTATATCCATAATCTTATTGATTGAGACAAGGCAGAGCAGGGTTTATTTATCCCATTTTGTAAATGAGAAAAACACATATCAAAAGGTCGACGTGCCTGCAGCCACACAGTTCAATGGTGGAGATAAAACTAGGACATTGAGAACTACATGCTCTCCAAGTAGAAGATAATAGGAAATACTTCATTTTTTCTGTATTCATGCCAATGACTTGGTTTGATTATATCATATTAGTGAAAGATTAGATCCAAAAAGGATTCAGCCAGTTCAGCAGCCCTTCCTTGCACACAGCTACAGACATCAATGAGAGTCTCCTATTCTTTCAGAGAGTGGGTTTTACTTTTGTGTGTTATCATTTAGCTTAGCTTATCTTAAAGCATTTTGATATGGTATATATATTTTAGAGTTATAATAGCCCATTATTGTAATATTCATTTTCTGATTATATGACAAATACCTAAAAGTAATACTTCCTGAAATAATACCTATATATAAATAATCTCCAGTTTCTTATGATGTCCAATTTGTATATATTTACCTGAGGTAGCAAAATATTAGCTGAGTTTATCTAATTGTTAATTATTAGTAATAATAGTAAAACATTAGTAACAGCCCAGTTACCTTAGTATAACATTACATTATCTGAAGCACATAACGTCAGAACTGTTCCACTAGCAACTCCAATGAATATTTTCATTTTCAGAACACTTCCATTTTTGTCGTAACTATAATATGCCTTCCAATCCAGGGCAGTATTATTACACTTATTTGACAGATTTGTAAACTTAGGCATAGATTAACATTCCTCCTCCTACGAAGCAGAGGAAAAGCCAGAAGTAAAAGTTGGAGACCCGCTCCCAGCACTGATCATTCTGAGAGATTACCAGGTCTTCCCTGATCAGCTTCCACCACTCTAGCCACTAATGATGGGCTTGGATGCTATTGGACTGTAGTATTGAACATGAATATATTTGGTCCCTACCTTTAGAGAGTTTATGTTAATTTGCTATAATCCTATAAATGACCTTGTCACTAAAGCCTAAACTCAGTCTAAAGCTTTTAAGAATTCATGGGAGGAAAGCATTTCTCAGTCGATAAACTCCAGAGCCCTTTGCAAAATTTGCTTGGAGGCCTAAAATCCACAGCTGTCGCTAAAAGAAAAATTGAATATATGTAAGCAATTGATTAGTCTAAAAAGACATGGATGAAATTGTGCTTTATATGATTAACTGAGAATTATATTTTCTATACAGAGAGGATAGGGTACGAGATTGCATCACTGAATCCAGCCTGAGATCAGACATGTGCCATAGGTAAGAAGAATCTGAGATTCTGGATCAAATTAATTGTCCAACTGTTTTATATGTGACTTTGTAATTTGAGAAGTCTGTTTGGACATAAGTTTACATGACACTTAATGGGCATATTGGGTTCATTGTTTAACTGACTTTAAGAAAGATTCCAGTGAAATGTACTGAAGTAATTTAGTTTCTAGAAATCAACTCAATAGACATTTTTTCTTACTTTAAAATTTGCTGATATTTATCCATATGAAGCTATCAATATAGTATGCCGTACCAAAAATGGAAGATTTTCCTCCATTTACACATATTTACAATGGCTTAGATAACTTTTGAGAAAAGTATGGAAAGAAACTATAAAAACTTCAGTGTAGGACTATAAGCACCTTATCGAAAACAATCTTATTTTCATCAGTAATGGAATAGCTGAATTCTTAAATGAAAAATTTTTAAAGCAAAAAGAAATGAAATCCATAACTCCAAATAAGACCGTAATCAAAGACAGCTTTCAAAAATTGACTTTAGCCAAAAAAGAAAAAAGGCTACTGTTAATTCATTATTTATCATAGTGTAAGACACTATAGCCATTACTCGAAAATCTTCAGTAGCTCCTCACTGCCTACTACATTAAGTACATGTCCCTCAGTCTGACATTGAAGAATCTCCCAGAGTGGTCACACAAATCTCCCTTGTGACCACTCTGCTTTCACTCCTGTATTATCCTCTAATCAAACCAGACTCCTCCTGATTCCCAAAAGTTCATTTATTTTTGTCTTTAAGCTTTTTCTCCATTCTGTTTCCTCCACCTGGAAGAGCCAATGCCCCAGTCTCACTCTTTTGAATCCATATGTATCTAAAAGTCATGTTGAGAGAAGCAATTTTATCATTAAGTTAATGTTTATGATTTATTTATCCAGCTGTCAGATGATATCATTTCACCCTACATAAGAATACATTATTTTTCTCACAAACTTTTGTTATATTGGTAAGAAAATAACATTGTGTAAACTGTGATTTCTCCCATCCCTGTACCAACAGAAGCAACAACTCGTTGAGGGACTCCACTGAAGGAAGCAAATCAAGTGAAACTCTTAGTAGGTAGGAAACACCAGCCCCCATTTTCAAAATGTCCCTTTTACGACTATTCATTATTAATTCAAAAGATCTTTAACTGTCTGTAATGTGCCATGCACTGCAGTAGACCCTTAGAATATAGTGAGTAAGACAGATATGGGCCCTGTCCTCAAGTTACTTACAACCATGAGGTCTGTCTTTTGATAGACTGCCTGGAAAAACTTATTTTTATCTTTTCTGTTTTCACCACCTAAATAAACAGAGATATCCGAGCCCTCTGTATATATTAAAAATTATGAACGTGAATTCTACGTTAAGATCTAGTAAGAGTAGGGACTAATTCATTGCTGTGTCTTCAGCACCAAGCATAATGCCTGCCACCTAGTAGCCATTCAGTAAATATTTGTTTAGTGAATAGATTAAGATAGTATTATAAATATTTTCTTACTGTCTCTTGATCAAAATACAATGAATTTGAATCTTTCTAAACGCAGTTGTCCCTTGGTATCCATGGGGAGATTTGTTCCAGGATCCCTGCAGAGACTAAAATTTACAGATGCTCAAGTCCCTTATATAAAATGGCATAGTATTTGCATATGACCTACACACATCTTCCCATATTCTTTAAACCATCCCTAGATTACTTACAATACCTAATACAATGTAAATGCTATGTCAATAGTTGTTATATTGTATAGTTAAGGGAATAATGACAAGAAAAAAAAGCCTGTACATGTTCAGTACAGATACAGCCATCTTCTTTTTCCCCAAGTATTTTCAATTCACATTTGGTTGAATCTGTGATTTCAGAACCCATGGATGCAGACTGACGAAGTGTAAATCTTTCTTGTAGCCTAAAAGAAATGTTGTTTTTATTTCCTTCTCATCTGGGTATATGATACTACATCATACCTATTAACAACCACAACTATCAACTGCATATGTTTTATTCTTATTATTCTTAATAAAAATTCTTGTTTTCCAGTTGATTTAGACTTGTCTCATTAGTCTAATCTCATGTATGAGGCAAGCATTATTTTCCCATAGAAATGAAGACTCAGATTGCTTAACAACTTGTCAAAGTCATACTGCTTGAAAACAATGGAGCTCAAATTTGAACTCAGGTTTAGCTGGTTCCTGAGCCCCTGTTTATGACCACTGTGTACTGCCTCTGGGTACCCACACTGAGCTACTGGGGTTGGAGCCCAGTCCTAGGCATGGGACAAAGAGAAGCTACTTCCCTGAGATAATTAAAGCTCTGCAGTAGTTTCTTCATGACTAGAAAAATCTGCTTCCTTCAGCAATGAAAGTACCGTAATACTTCTTTATTCTGAAATTATGAAAAATAACTTTTTCTTTATTATAAAAAATATATGCTCCAAAAAGTCATTGAGAAAACATGTTTTACATTTCAGTAACTGGGTTAATAAAATACAGCTAGATTCTCATATCTGCATATGCATTTAATCTGTTGTTATTAAATGCGTATCAACTATCATGGAGCTTCCGGGGAACTCCACTGTACATTTGTGAGAGACTGAAGGTTACGAAGCAAATAACAACCTAATATCATAATGAAAATAGTTTTGACCTCACAAACCTCCTGAAAGGGAACCACCTTGAGAACTGCTGCCGTATTATTCTCATATTGGTACCCAGCTCACAGAGAACTATGTAGTTTACTTCAACTTATATGTCTTATAGTTTTGTACACTGATACTACTAATGTTATGACTTGTTGTTGTCATCGTTATTTATTTATTTATTTATTTATTTATTTATTTATTTGAGACAGAGTCTCTGTCTGTCACCCAGGCTGGAGTGCAAAGGCATGATCTCAGCTCACTGCAACCTCCACCTCCTGGGTTCAAGTGATTCCCCTGCCTCAGCCTCCCGAGTAGCTGGGACTACAGGGGCATGCCACCACACCCAGCTAATTTTTGTATTTTTAGTAGAGACGGAGTTTCACCATGTTGGCCAAATGGTCTCGATCTCTTAACCTCGTGATCCACCAGCCTCAGCCTCCCAAAGTGCTGGAATTATAGGCGTGAGCCACCATGCCCGGCCTGATTTCTTTATTTCTAAATGAGTCATTAAGATTGCACCTCTTAGAATCCATGAACAGATGTTGTGGATTTTATAGCTATTAGTACACAAAAATGGATTTTCTAATGAAGATTATATATTTTCATTATGTAAAATATTCATGGATTCTGAATACAAAAAGATAATGCAACTTTGAACCTACCTCTTAGAGTATTTTAGGACTTTAGGGTTATGATTGCCATCTTGAGGTTATATTTTAAGCCATCACATTTGCCTGTGTTAACTTGCTTCTATCTATGAATCTTAGTACTGTGTTTGTGAAGTGGAATGCTTGCATTACCATTCTTATGCTTCCAGAGAGCCGGTCACATTGCATGCAGGAGACATGGAAGATCCCTCTGGTTGCTTCACATTCGCATCTGCAGGTGAGTTTCCAACGAAAGCACAGAAATAGAGCCTACAGTGTCTCCCCATTTCCACGAGGGTAAAAGCCAAAGTCATTGCAGTATCTTCCAATTCCTTGTTAACTCTCTGGCCTCATTTCCTGCTACTCCCTCTTTCATGCATTCTGTTTTATCCACCCTCAAACTGTTCCTTGAACATGTCAGGCAGCTTCCATGTTAGGGCTTTTATGCCCTGTTACCTTATGTTGCTAAAATCTCAGCTCCTTTAAAGCCTTTGCCCAGGTGTCACTTTCCCAGTGGGACTTAATTGTCATCACCGCATTAAAAGATCACAACTAGCCGGTGTGATGGCTCATGCCTGTTATTTCAGCACTTTGGGAGGCCAAGGTGAGTGGATTGCTTGAGGCTAGGAGTCCGAGACCAGTCTGGGCAACATGGCAAAACCCTATCTCTAAAAGTAAATTAAAATAAAATAAAAAATCACGATTTTCCCACACTTCCAGTGCTCCTTCTTCCTTTTATCAGTTACTCTTAGCATCTTCTCACATACTGTGTCACCCATGTGAGACAAGAGCTGTGCAAGGGCAGATGTCTTTAGCCATTTGGTTCCTGGATATATCCCAGGTGCCTGGAGACTTCCTGGCACATAGCAGGTGCTGAATAAATATTGAATAGACGAAAGGAAAAGGAGAAGAATCAAGATGGACAGTTCTCCATAAAATTTCCAAAGAATTATAGATAAGATGATCTCATTTTAAAAAAAGCTCCAGAAAGAAGAGATTGAAAGTCAACACAATTTGTTGACAAGCAAAGTGGCATAACTCAGATTAGAAATGGAAGAGAAAGATTAAAAACATCACAGGGAAAAGCTTTAGAAAATGAAAAATAAAATAGATGTGACTGAAATGATAGCCATGGAGAAAATTACACAAAAGGAATTTTTAAAAATAAGTACCAAAAATAATTACACAGAATATGTTATATTTGGAAGGCAGAGGCAAACCAACAGATACATAATTGGTCTTCTTATGGAAGAGAACAAAATAAATGAGAAAGAATGAAACTGTGATGATTATTCAACAAAAATGTAGTTATAAATCTGGACAGTATTGTAAATAGAGAAATTTGAGGTAAGCTGAAAAGAGATGGGAGAAAGATAAATTTTCATTTTTTTTCTTAGTGTCAGTATACAGTCATGTGCTGCATAATGTTTTGGTCAATGACCATGACATAAACAGCAGAGGTCCCATAAGATTGTAATAGAGCTGAAAAATTCCTGTTACCTAGTGATGTTGTAGCTATGATAATGTCATACCACAGTGTGTTACCTTTTCTGTGTTTAGACATATTTAGATAAATAAATACTTACCATTATGTTACAGTTGCCTACAGTATTCAGTACAGTAACATGCTCTACAGGTTTGTAGCCTAGAAGCAATAAGCTATACCATATAGCCTGTATACCATCTAGGTTTGTGAAAGTGTACTCTATGATGGTCGTGCAATGACAAAATTAACTAACAGCACAATTCTCAGAACATATCCCCATTGTGAATTATGACTGTATATTTATAATCAAAATGTAATATTCTTAAATAAAATAATTGCAAATTCTTAATTTTTAAATAATCTTTGGCTTGGGGGGAAATCTTTCAGGAACTAACATTTTGAAGAAAAGAACATTTATGTAAAGTTAATTCCTTCAGGTTTACTTCATTTATATGTTTTTTACTATTGTTTCAATGATTACTCAGGACAGTAAAACATTTATCCTTGCCTTATTAGATTGATATAAATGAATGCTTTTACCTTTTCTCATACATTGGCAGTACCTTAGAATATGTTAACTCCATTCACTATCCTTCCAACTTTCATACAATTATCATATATTTAAATTAAAAATATGAATTATAAAAATATAAATACCACACTTAATTATTTTTATTGTTTTCTACAGTTAATATTCATTTAGAGGTACCCATATATTTACACTTAACTTTCTGGTATCATTTTACTTATGCCTTTAAGGCTTCTTTTAATGTAAACCTGCTGGTGAGAAATTCTGTCCATTTTTGTTTTTCTGAAATGTGTTTATTTCATCCTGATTTTTGAAGAATATTTTTACTGAGTATAGAATTCTAAATTGGCATTTTTTTCTTCACTTTGAAGATATCACTTTCCATTGTTTTCTTTCTTTCATTGTTTCTACTAAGAAGTCAGCTGTAAGTTTGTTTATTTAAATACAGTCTGTTCCTTTTTTTCCCCTTTTGCTTTAAGATTGTTTTTGTTTTTGATTGGTTTGTTTTAGCAGTTTTTATTTATTTCTGCAGATATTATTTTTAATGCATATAAGAAGAATTCACTTGGAGTCTGAAGTAATGCTGCTTAAATCTATGGGAGTCTATGCCTGATAAGCCCATTGTCTGGACCCTATAGATCTATGTCATTATTTATATTTTTTTCTTCTTGGTTTTCTGCCATATCATCTTGTCTCCTTATATGCCTGGTTATTTTTATTGTATAACATGTTATATATGAAAAGTTGTACAGATGTACACAGTGATGCTATGAATGAGATTACCTTCCCCTAGAGAGCATTCATGCTTGCATTTGGTAGACAACTAAGGCATCCAGGTCAATTTAATCACATTAGAAAGAGGATTTAAAGCTAGACCTCAGGATCCCAAGGGCAGGTCTAGTTCCTATTCACCCTTATTCCTAAGGCATAACCCTTTTCAGTTCCAACCCCAAATCTTGGGTATTTAGAAGAATGTCCCCCTGTCCCTCTACCATTGGGAACATTTTCTCATGAAAGCTTGACTTTTTGAGAAGTGCAGTGTACTATTTTTAATTAATTCTGTCCTTTTACTTTTGTTCTTGCAAACTTTTAGCAAGTCCATCTGTGAAAAACTCAGCTTCTCGTTCATTCAATTCTTCTCCTAAGAAGTCTCCAGTGCACTCGCTCCTAACTAGTTCAGTTGAAGGTTCAATAGGTTCCGCATCACAATATAGGTCTGCCAAGCCTATTCATTCATCTGATTCTGTTAAAGGTAAGAAAGATCTGATATCATTGATGTGATTAATTGATTTCCTACACTACTGAACTCTAAGTTCTTTTGACTCAGAATTAAGATTTTGCGTGCTGCTCTTATGTGTAAGCTCTAACTGATTCTGTGTAACTTAAACAGGTCTTATCTAAATAGAACAGCTATTGTGTACCATGCGAGCCTTAGTAAATGTAATTGGTATTATATGTAAACATTATCTCTCTTTTTCTCTAAATGAATAATGAACATTTTTGCTTCTATTTTATTAAAAGATTTTGGATCCTCTTTTAAATGCCGTGAGTTACTTTTCTTTCTTATTTACATTCTTTAAAATCATAACTCTTCTTCAGTCTCCACTTTAGTCACTATAACTGCATACCATACAAACTTTTCAAAATTTTCTCATTTTTAATATTTTAAGTTAGTTTGTTATTTGATAAGACAAATGAGAAAAAAAAAATGTTTGATTTAGAATAAATGCCTGGTAAGTAAGTGAGAGTTAAATATTATGTGTTGAATGAACTTGAAATATTTCTCATCATGTATGACAGTGACCAAACAACCCCAGTGTTCTATGACATCATTCCCTTTTGTAAGAGAGAAACTAGACTAAGTTGTATTATCATCAAGTTATTTCTTAGTCTTTTGAAATTCTATACTTTACACATTTCTAGATCCTAAAAAATACCTAATCACACATTAGTACATTTTTTACATCTTTTTTTCTGTACTTGTGTCCTCTTTCATCTCTTATGTGTCTAAGCTATTCATTTACTATGTTTTTTAATTTTAAGTATAAAATTACTTTCCTGTTCTGTGGTGGGAAAGTCTGTGCAAACCTACCCACAAAGACTGAGGAAGCTGAGAGGCTGAAGAAAGAGGCTGACAAATCCAATTTCTCAGAAAGAAACATTTAATAGGGACTTAAGAATGGAGCCGTGTTTGTGCCTCCGCAACAGTCACACAAGGTGGTGGATCCTTGTACCACTATCCCCCTAGACCCAGGGCCTGTACACCATAGGTAAAGGGTATACATGCCTCAGAAAGGATGAACAGGACAATTGCTTAAGGGTAGAATTTATGGCAGGTACTTGCTACCTACCATACAAGGAAACTGGAAATCTTGGATGCCTTCCTGGAACTGGGATTAATCAGAAGTCAACTTGACAGATTAGCATCCAAGATGGAGTTGCTTTGGCCTCCATATTACCTTTTAAAGCTGTGGTTATTGCAGGAATAGCGCAATACTGCTTGACACTTTATTATTAATTTTTGTTACATAATGGCATGGCATTTTCTTCTCACCCCCAATCCCCCGCTTATTGTCATACTCATCAAACATATATTTTGTATTATTTATGTTAAAAACCTCTGGCCGGGTGCTGTGGCTCATGTCTGTAATCCCAACACTTGGGGAGGCTGAGGTGGGCAGCTCACCTGAGGTCAAGAGTTCGAGACCAGACTGACCAACATGGAGAAACCCCATCTCTATTAAAAATACAAAATTAGCCGGGTGTGGTGGCACATGCCTGTAATTCCAGCTACTCAGGAGGCTGAGGCAGGAGAATCGCTTGAATTGGGAGGCAGAGATTGCGATGAGCTGAGATCCCGTGATTGCACTCCAGCCTGGGCAACAAGAGCGAAACTCTGTCTCAAAAAAAAACAAAACAAAAAAACAAAACAAAAAAAAACTCTCCAAGAAAATGTTTCCCATTCTCTAAAACTGAAGTAATTCCTAGATAATTGCCTTAAATGGAAAGGGTATTTTTTGATAGGAAAATTAGCCATTAAAAATATTATCAGAATTATGCAGCTAGGCAGGGATTAAGATCAAAATTTAAGTCTTCAGATTGCCAATTAAGTACTTTTAGAGGTTGACAAAACAGCACCCTGGTAAGAGAATAGCTTACATGCTCCTAGGCCTTCTTTAGTTGCCACTGCCACATTCGTTCTAGGTTCAGTGTGATCATGTTGGCATCCATGCCACCCTCTGCCGTCATATAATACCATTCCCATTAGGTGACAGAACTGATGTGGGCGCTGGCCTCACATACCTTGAAAATGGTGCAGTTTCTGTATTAGATCATAGTCCTTCAAACCCCAAGTTAGTGGAACTACTCAGGCTTGGTACGAAAAGCTGTCATTTATAATGCAGAATGTATCATGAAACTTGAAGTGTTCTTTTTACCCATCTTATTTAATATTATGTAGTTAAATTATGATACATCAGATTAGTTGAACAAAATCAAATAGGCTAGCATTGCAATATTTAGATAAAACTCATTTTTCTCTGTTTTAAAATCATATTTTAGAGTTTCCTTTAAGTGTTATAGCTCTTTTAGAATTTGTCATGAAAAAAAGGTCTCTTTATTTTAAAGAAAAGTTGTTTAGCCTTTAATTAAAAGATTTCTAAAAGGAAATGTTGAATAGACTTTTAATATCACATCTAAGCAATTTTCTAATAGATTCACAGTCTCCGCCAATAGAAACAACAGGAAAAACATGCAGGAAGCTTCAGAACAGACTCGAAAGCTTGCAAACTCTGGTAGAAGATTTACAGATGAAGAACCAAGGTACAGTGTTTGTTTTTGAAGAGATCTACCTTGCTCATGAGAATGTTCACCTTCCTTTCAGATTAAGCCTCCTGTCTATAAACCTACTGAAAGGGTATTGAATTAGCAACTATAAACTGAAGTCTAAATATAAGGGTCTTAACCATTAATAGCCCCTGGATTAATTGTGTGACCATGGGTAGGTCACTCTTGCCCTGCTGTACTCTCTTATCTAATGGGGATGACAATCCTGCTGGCCATCCCTCAGGAGTGGTTTTGAGGTTCTGAGTGGTTTTTCACATGGGAATTTCCCACACACTGTCTTTCTTGTTGCTATTAGGTCTGTAGACAAGCATTTATACGATAATAGCCTAGGCAAGAGTATAGTCAATAGCAAGGAAGCAAATTAATGGTATTTATTCTTACACAGGATTTAAATTAGCATAGCACTGTAAGAGACTATGCCACCCAATGAATCACAAAATAAAAAGAATCCACTTCTAAAAATGCTAAAACGATTTGAATAAGAAACTGTTCTAATCTGCAGAAGACTGGCAGCTTTTTGGGCATAAGTTCTAAGTACCATGAATATGGGGGAGCCTTCATGGTTCATACTTTTCTAACCCACATTCATGAATCCAGGGGCCTTTGTCAGAGAGAAATGAATTTTGAAGTACATTTCTTATTCTGTCTTTTCTATCCCTAGAAAACAATAAATTGCTGGGTAAAGGAAAATACATTTCTGAGAATAAATCTTCATAAAATAAACTTAACTTTATTAGTAGTAATAGTTGCTATTAACACTTAATTGAGCACTTCCCAACTATGTGCCAGGCCTTGTACTAAGAGCTTCACTTACGTTTTCTTCATGTGATCTTTACAACAACATTGGGAAATGGGTACTGTTATTACAGCATTTGAAAATGAGAAAACTGAAGATAAAAGAATAGTCAATAAATTCCAAGTCACAGTGAAGGGTAGATCGAGGACTTGGCCTCTGCAATTTCTGACTCCGGAATCCACGTGTTTTTAATATAGTAAGGCTTTAGCGAATTGTTGTTGAAGGAAATTCCAAGTCCCTGTGATAACCCAAGACTCCTATGTATATAAACATTAGGAAAAACATTTGGTTTTAAGTTTATTGTGAATTTGTGGGGTTTTAGCGTTATTTTTAAAATTTCAATGGTTTGTGGGGAGCATGTGGTGTTTAGTTGCAGGGAAAAGTTCTTCAGTGGTGATTTCTGAGATTTTGGTGCACCCATCACCCAAGCAGTATACAATGTATCTTTTTTCCTTCACCCGCCTCCCATCCTTCCCCCCAAGTCCTCAAAGTCCATCATATTATTCTTATGCCTTTGCATCCTCATAGCTTAGCTCCCACGTATGAGTGAGAACATACAATGTTTGTTTTTCTTTTCCTGAGTTACCTTACTTAGAATAATGGTCTCCAACTCCATGCAGGTTGCTACAAATGCCATTATTTTATTCCTTTTATGGCTGAGTAGTATTACATGGTTGTTTTTGTGTGTGTGTGTGTGTGTGTGTGTGTATATGTATACACCATGTAATATATATATACACCATGTAAATATACATGGTGTGTATATGTATATATGGAGGAAGGATGAGATGGATGAGGTGTGTGTGTATATATATAATGTAATACTATATATATATACACACACACACACACACACACACCCCATGTAATACTCTCTATATATAGATAGATAGATAATAATTTTCATTCTTTTTTTTTTTTTTTTTTGAGACAGAGTCTCGCTCTGTCGCCCAGACTGGAGTGCAGTGGCGTGATCTTGGCTCACTGCAAGCTCCACCTCCTGGGTTCACACCATTCTCCTGCCTCAGCCTCCCAAGTAGTTGGGACTACAGGCACCCGCCACCATGCCCAGCTAATTTTTTGTATTTTTAGTAGAGATGGAGTTTCACCATGTTAGCCAGGATGGTCTCGATCTCCTGACCTCGTGATCCACCCGCCTTGTCCTCCCAAAGTGCTGGGATTACACACATGAACCATCGCGCCCGGCCTAATTTTCTTTATCCACTAGTTGGTTGATGAGCATTTAGGCTGGTTCCATATTTTTGCGATTGTGAATTTTGCTGCTATAAACGTGTGTGTGCAAGTGTCTTTTACACATAATGACTTCTTTTCCTCCAGTTGTGGGATTGCAGCATCAAATGGTAGTTCTACTTTTAGTTCTTTAAGAAATCTCTGTACTGCTTTCCATACTTGTTGTACTAGTTTACATTCCCACCAGCAGTGTAAAAGTGTTCCCTTTTTACCACATCCACACCAACATCTGTTGGTCATATTTTTAACTTATGTCATATTTTTAAATTATGGCCATTCTTGCAGGAGTAAGGTAGTATCATATTGTTGTTTTGATTTGCATTTCCCTAATCATTGCTGTTGTTGAGCATTTCTTCATATGTTTGTTGGCCATTTGTATATCTTCCTTTGAGAATTGTCTATTCATATACTTAGCCCACTTTTTAATGGGATTATTTGTTTTTTTCTTACTGATTCGATTGAGTTCCTTGTAGATTCTGGATATTAGTCCTTTGTCAGATGCACAGTTTGCAGATATTTTCTCCCACTCTGTGGGTTGTCTGTTTACTCTGCTGCTTATTTCTTTTGCTATGCAGAAGCTTTTAAATTTAATTAGGTCCCATCTATTTGTCTTTGTATTTGTTACATTTGCTTTTGGGTTCTTGGCTATGAACTCTTGTCTAACCCAATGTCTAGAAGAATTTTTCTGATGTTACCTTCTAGAATTTTTGTGGTTTCAGGTCTTAGATTTAAGTCTTTGACCCATCTTGAGTTGCAGTTTCATTCTTCTACATGCCACTTGCCAATTATTCCAGCACCACTTGTTGAATACGGTGTCCTTTCCCCACTTCATGTTTTTGTTTGCTTTGTCAAAGATCAGTTGGCTGTAAATATTAGGCTTTCTTCCTGGGTTCTCTATTCTGTTCCATTGGTCAATGTGCCTATTTTTATACCAGTACTATGCTGTTTTGGTGATGATAGCCTTGTAGTATAGTTTGAAGTCAAGTAATGTGATGCCTCCAGATTTCTTCTTTTTGCATAGTCTTGCTTTGGCTATGTGGGATCTTTTTTTGGTTCCATATGAATTTTAGGAATGTTTTTTCCAGTTCTATGAAGAATGATGATGGCATTTTGATGGGAATTGCATTGAATTTGTAGATTGCTTTTGTCAGTATGATCATTTCCGCAATACTGGTTCTACCTATCCATGAGCATGAAATGTGTTTCCATTTGTGTGTGTTATCTATGATTTCCTTCAGCAGCATTTGTAGTTTTTCCTGTAGAGATTGTTCATCTCCTTGGTTAGATATATTCCCAAGTATTTTATTTTTCTTGCAGCTGTTGTAAAAGGGGCTGGGTTCTTGATTTGATTCTAAGCTTGGTCATTGTTGTTGTATAGCAATGCTACTGATTTGTGTACATTGATTTTGTATCCTGAAACTTTACGGAATTCATTTATCAGATCTAGGAGCTTTGTGGATGAGTCTTTAAGGTTTTCTAGGCATAGGATCATATCATCAGCAAACAGCAATAGTTTGACTTCCTCTTCAATAAAGGATGCCCTTTATTTCTTTCTCTTGTCTGACTGCTCTGACTAGGACTTCCAGTACAATGTTGAATACCAGTGATGAAAGTGGGCATCCTTGTTTTGTACAAGTTCTCACGGAGAATGCTTTCAACTTTTCCCCTTTCAGTATAATGTTGGCTTTGAGTTTGTCATAGATGGTTTTGGTTACCTTGAGGTATGTCCCATCTGTGCTGATTTTGCCAAGGGTTTTCCTTATAAAGCGAGGCTGGATTTTGTCAAATGCTTTCTCTGCATTTTTTGAGATGATCATATGATTATTGTTTTCAATTCTGTTTGTGTGATGTATCACATTTATTGAGTTGAGTATGTTAAACCATCCCTGTATACCTGGTATGAAACCCACTTAATCATGGTGGTTTATCTTTTTGATATGGTGTTGTATTCAGTTAGCTAATATTTTGTTGTGGATTTTTGCATCTATGTTCGTCATGGATATATATATATATATAAAATATGTATATATACACACACACACACACACATATATATATTTCAAGACAGAGTCTTGCTCTGTCACCCAGGCTGGAGTGCAGTGGCATGATCTTGGCTCACTGCATCCTCCACCTGCCAGGTTCAAGTGATTCTCCTGTCTCAGCCTCTCGAGTAGCTCGGATTACAGGCACATGCCACCATGCCCGGCTAATTTATTTATTTATTTATTTATTTGGTTTTTTTTTTTGAGATGGAGTCTTGCTCTGTCGCCCAGGCTAGAGTGCAGTGGTGCAATCTCAGCTCACTGCCAGCTCTGCCTCCCGGGGTTCACGCCATTCTCCTGCCTCAGCCTCCCAAGTAGCTGGGACTACAGGCCCCCGCCACCACGCCCGGCTCCTTTTTTGTATTTTTTAGTAGAGACGGGGTTTCACCGTGTTAGCCAAGATGGTCTTGATCTCCTGACCTCATGATCTGCCCACCCCGGCCTCCCAAAGTGCTGGGATTACAGGTGTAAGCCACCATGCCTGGCCACGTCCGGCTCATTTTTGTATTCTTAGTAGAGATGGGGTTTCATCATGTTGGCCAGGCTGGTCTCGAACTCTTGACCTCGTGATACGCCCACCTTGGCCTCCCAAAGTGCTGGGATTACAGATGTGAGCCACTGTGCCTGGCATCATCATGGATATTAGTCTGTAGTTTTCTTTTTTGTTATGTCCTTTCCTGGTTTTAGTATTAGGGTGATACTGACTTCATAGAATATGTGGATTTTTGCATCTATGTTCATCATGTATATTGCTCTGTAGTTTTCTTTTTTTGTTATGTCCTTTTCTGGTTTTAGTATTAGGGTGATACTGACTTCATAGAATGATTTAGGGAAGATTCCGTATTTCTCTATGTTTGAAACAGTTTCAGTAAGATTAGTACCAGTTA